ACACAAGACCCCCCCCCCTCTTCTACAAGGGTTGTAAGACGACCCACCGCACTCCCACCACAAGGGTCAGTCATTTCATGGGAGCTTAGATAAGTCTATACAATTCACTTTAACTACTCACTGCCGACCGTCATTACAACAAAGTCCCATCTTGCCTCCCCCCCCCCACCACTCTCGAACCCACGGACACCATCCAATGTTTTATAATTGCATGACGTCAGACATTTACACACAAAAAGAATCGCAAAGGCGGTTTGTGTTTGCATGCACAATTCGCCATCTTGCCAAGCGCGCTTGATTTATGTGCATATCAAAGTAGGTATATTTATCTCCGCGTAGACCAAAAAAAAAAAAAAAAAGACGAATGCACGTTAATGCAATGCACAAACACATGTGTATGCCCGTTCAGTTGACAATAAGGCATCGATCACTGACCCAACGATAAACATAGTCATCGATCATGCGTCACAAACAGCAGTGCGTCAGTTGTGAGTAGTAGGGCACTTCAGCACGACTTTCAGGGGGGGGGGGGAAAGCTGCGGGTCGACAGGAAGTTACAGGGCATGACGTCCACATCCCCACCGCAAGCTGTTACGTCCTCCCCTAACAATTACAGGGCGTCCACCCCCACCCCAAACAGTTACATGACATCCACCCCCACCCCAGTTACAGGGCATCCACCCCAGTTACATGACATCCACCCCCACCCCAAACATTTACAGGGCGTCCACCCCCACCCCAGTTACAGGGCGTCCACCCCCACCCCAGTTACATGACATCCACCCCCACCCCAAACATTTACAGGGCCGTCCACCCCCACCCCAGTTACAGGGCGTCCACCCCCACCCCAGTTACACGGTGTCCACAAACCGTTACATGGCATTTCGACTCTCCTTCCACCCACCATAAATTTTACATGGCATATTGTTCATGGAATTTAACACCCCCCCCCCCCAATGCGTATGAGCATCCCCATAGAAGTCATGACAATTTTAGGGCGAATGCTCCCCCCCCCCCCACCTCCCAGCCCTCCCCACACCCTAAAATGAATTCTCTTTGATCTACCAGCAAACACGAGATAAAAAGCAGATCAATGTACAAAGTTTCAAAGCCGTTTCAGCCCACGGACGTAATAGCTGGGCCATCAATGCTCAACACGCGTGGCTCATATAGATATACACGTCCACACAGTGGCCCACGGCCGTATTCATTTAGACAGAGGCCCCCCATCACACACACACACCTCACCAACTGCTCGTGCACGTTAATGTCCATTTTTAGTGGCCTTTAGATTAACCCTGTATACTGATTGCATTAACGAATCGATGTACAGTAGCTAAGAATATTTAATTAGCGAGCTCACATCAGCCTAGGTGGCCTCGAATTACGTGAGAAATTTAAACGCGTTGACTTAGTTCAAAGATGCTTCCACACGTTTTAAATTAAACGATTTTAACATTCATATTCAGCCAAACTAGAGCTTCAACAAAAAAAAAAAAAAAAGGTTTGGAAACTGAAATAAAATGTGAGTACATTTTTTCCTTGTTCAATCTGACGAAGACCCAGTGTCGAATCAATCTGTCATGCGTTTTTTTTCATTAAGGTTTTAACAATAGCTCCATTCTAAGAGATTTTGGAGAATCCCAGTAAAACTATCAATGTGATCGTGACCAGGACACAAACGTGTGTGGTCCTGACCACAGTACAAACGTTCTATGTGACCCCAGTACAAATGTCCTATGTAGCCCCAGTACAAACGTCCTATGTGGCCTCAGTACAAAGTCCTATGTGGCCCCAGTACAAACGTCCTATGTGGCCTCAGTACAAAGTCCTATGTGGCCCCAGTACAAACGTCCTATGTGGCCTCAGTACAAAGTCCTGTGGCCCCAGTACAAACGGACCCAGTACAAACGTTCTATGTGGCCCCAGTACAAACGTCCTATGTGGCCTCAGTACAAACGTCCTATGTGGCCTCAGTACAAACGTCCTATGTGGCCCCAGTACAAACGTCCTATGTGGCCCCAGTACAAACGTCCTATGTGGCCCCAGTACAAACGTCCTATGTGGTCCTGACCCCAGTACAAACGTCCTGTGTGGCCCCAGTACAAACGTCCTATGTGGCCCCAGTACAAACGTCCTATGTGACCCAGTACAAACGTCCTGTGTGGCCCCAGTACAAACGTCCTGTGTGACCCCAGTACAAACGTCCTGTGTGACCCCAGTACAAACGTCCTATGTGACCTCAGTACAAACGTCATATGTGACCCCAGTACAAACGTCCTATGTGGCCCCAGTACAAATGTCCTGTGTAGCCCCAGTACAAACGTCCTATGTAGCCCCAGTACAAACTTCCTGTGTGACCCCAGTACAAACGTCCTGTGTGACCCCAGTACAAACGTCCTGTATGACCCCAGTACACACGTCCTATGTAGCCCCAGTACAAACGTCCTATGTGACCCTAGTACAAACGTCATATGTGACCCCAGTACAAACGTCCTATGTGGCCCCAGTACAAATGTCCTGTGTAGCCCCAGTACAAACGTCCTATGTAGCCCCAGTACAAACTTCCTGTGTGACCCCAGTACAAACGTCCTGTGTGACCCCAGTACAAACGTCCTGTATGACCCCAGTACACACGTCCTATGTAGCCCCAGTACAAACGTCCTATGTGACCCTAGTACAAACGTCATATGTGACCCCAGTACACACGTCCTGTATGACCACAGTACACACGTCTTGGTAGTGAAACTAACACAAACGCCCTGTTACAAAGTACCAATTTTGAGACAAGCCTGGAGAAAACAAGCTTCTAACACCATAAACAACAGCATCACCAATAACAACAAAGTCTAAACTTCCACTATAGACATGATAAAATACAACTACACCCCTCTAGTACCCAACACAACCCCTGCACTCATCTGTTAATTTAAACCAGATAAACTAATACCCCCCCCCCCCACCCGTCCCTTGGTTGTGATGGTGAGTTGCACCAGCTGTGTTCTAGCATGCCTCACTTTCTTGACATGTCCAATTACACATTGAAATCTTCACTCCGTAAAACACAAGATGAGGGGGGAAAAAAACTGTTCGGGGGCCCCGCATTCTCTTTCATCCTGTCATGTCGCTCCCTCAGCATCCAGACAAAGCAGACTACAGTTTGAGCCCGCATCCTGCGATCATTTTACAAGGGGGGTAACAATGGCAATGTCGCCCAACAAGTTCGATCACTCCGTAAGTATTGAACCACAGCACCGCACGGGATTATGTCATACTGCTCGTGTATTATGGGATATCTGACATGAGAGGGGCGGGATTATAATGAAGGAGGATTAGTGTTGAGGACGTTAAGCCATGAGAACAGGGGAAGTAATGAAAGTATAATAGCTTCTTCTTGTGGGGGATCAGCTTGGATTGGTCCTAAATAGTGGCTTGACAAGTAGGTATCGTCTAAATCAGTACTTTGACCAGTAAATCTTGGTCTAAAAATAGTGGTTTGATCAGTGGGTGTTGGTCTAAAAATAGTGGTTTGATCAGTGGATCTTGGTCTAAAAATAGTGGTTTGATCAGTGGATCTTGGTCTAAAAATAGTGGTTTGATCAGTAGACCTTGGTCTAAAAATAGTGGTTTGAACAGTAGATATTGGTCTAAAATAGTGGTTTGATCAGTGGATCTTGGTCTAAAAATAGTGGTTTGATCAGTGGATCTTGGTCTAAAAATAGTGGTTTGATCAGTGGATCTTGGTCTAAAAATAGTGGTTTGATCACTGGATCTTGGTCTAAAAATAGTGGTTTGATCAGTGGATCTTGGTCTAAAAATAGTGGTTTGATCAGTAAATCTTGGTCTAATAATAGAGGTTTGATCAGTGGATCTTAATCTAAAAATAGTGGTTTGATCAGTAAATCTTGGTCTAATAATAGAGGTTTGATCAGTGGATCTTAATCTAAAAATAGTGGTTTGATCAGTGGATCTTGGTCTAAAAATAGTGGTTTGATCAGTGGATCTTAATCTAAAAATAGTGGTTTGATCAGTGGATCTAGGTCTAAACAAATTTATTTAATGAGTAGATAGTTGAATTAATATTGTTATTCAAAAATATATCCATGTTTAAATTGTGGGTTAATTAGTACATATTGATCCGAAATAATGGGCTGACGAGTGACAAGCAAAGACTGACGCTAACTTGAAGTTTAGGCGAGAACGTGTTGCAATTACCAAATAGAGATCTAGTAGAGGCTGCTCCCTATGCTGACTAGGGGTGAAGGCGGTTTATTTATATTTCCAGAGACTAGTTCCCTGCGGTAGAGGGACCACTGTATCACTGTACGGCCATCACCACTACACCGCCACCCGTGGAACAACACACCACACACCAGGTTTGACGCTCTTTATTTAACAACACAAAGGAGGTTGTCATTTTATCACAGGCTCTTCTTGGGGTGGGTAACCGTTTCACAAGAGCACATTTCCATTTTCTCTCTCTATAGCACCCCCCCTGAAGAGAGTGTGTGAGGTCACATTAGCATTTCAATCCCCAGGCTGTGGGCCCATACACAATGTGTTAACGACTCACTATCCAGAGGCTGTGGACACCTACACACCGTGCTAACAACTCACCATCCCCTACACACCGTGCTAACAACTCACCATCCAGAGGCTGTGGACACTTACATACCGTGCTAAAAACTCACCATCCTCTTACACACTATGATCGTCCCCTACACACCGTGCTAGCGACTCACCATCCAGAGGCTGTGGACACCTACACACCGTGCTAAAAGCTCACCATCCTCTTACACACTATGATCGTCCCCTACACACCGTGCTAGCGACTCACCATCCAGAGGCTGTTGACCCCTCCACACCGTGTTAACAACTCACCGTCCCGTTACACATTGTGCTAACAGCTGATCGTCCCCAACACACCGTGCCAACGACTCACTGTCCCTACACACCGTGCTAACGACTCACTGTCCCTACACACTGTGCTAACAACTCACCTTCTGCGAGGTCTCGGGGTCACTGCCCTCTCTCCTGAAGCTCGTCTGGCTGGCAACGTCCTGCGGCGATCAACCCGGGCCTCTGTCGTCAGGTCGCTGCTCCTGGTCACGTAAGGGGGAGGGCTGCTCGAGTTGGTCAGATCTTGAAGAGATGCTCCAATCTTGCGACGTTTTCGTGCTGGGCTTTCCGTCTGTTCAACAAGAGAAGAGTCCAGATTTTACAAGTAACCCACACACTTAGTACTCACATCTGCCTAAATTTCTACACATTTACAAGAAGAAAACCCTAACAACTCCCATTAATCCTCACCTCTCTACACATTTACATAATGAAGTATCGAAACACTGGCCCATTGTCTTAATCTACACTTTCACATAAGCAAGTATCTAAACATTTGCCTCCTGTCTCAATCTCTCTACACGTTCATATAAACAAGTACCTAAACATTCGCCTATTGTCTTCATCTCTCAACACATTTACATAAACGAATACATAGCTGTGGTGGGCCTATAATTACAATATCTGTGTGTATAAAACCAAGCACAGATAACACGCGATAGCATTGGATTTTCGTCTTGTACCGAGAGCCAGAGCTAAGGCTGACGCGATACTTGCAGCTATATTTAACCGGGCTTGTAGGAGCTGATACAGGCGTGTTGGTCGTGTTCAACTATTTTCAATCAATGCCAGGTTTCAATAGAAATCTATTCCCTTTCATCTCATTTGTTTTTTTTGTTTTTTAAACGTGGTGTATTAATGCACATTTTTTATAACACGATAAACATCTTTCATCCAATGAGCTTTAAAAGTAGAAGGACAACATAAAGGCATAAGGCCTCCCCACTGATAGGGCTGCCCCCCCCCCCCCCCCCCCCCAAGATAAAAAGCCTTGCAGTGTTGTGGCGCTGGCCTGAAACCAATGTCTAGTTTTACACTTGAGCATGACGGGCAGGGTTTTGCACGGTACACGTCTCACGTTAAAGTGCTGACAACAAAACACTAGACTACACAGCAAGGACTTACTGCGACACATAAACACCATAAACATTTACACAGTTAACATTTTAAAATCATTAGGTAAAGAATAAATAATCATAAATAATCACAGAAAACTGTCACCGATAACAAACCAGAGCACACAGAAGTTTATTTCTGTTTACGCCCCCCCCCCCCCCTTCCCTCCATTCTTCCCCATTCTACTCCGCACAATTTCGTGTTTACTATCAAGTTATTGGCGGGGCTGTTTGGAATTTCCAACAGCTTGGTTAAAAAACTGTGGAAACAGCCCTTCACCAATACAGGGATCTGTAGCTAAGCCTGTTCAATCTTGCGTCCATATCACAGTTTGGCGATAGGAACGTTTTATTCGAAGTTGTTTTGTTTTTTGAGAACTCTTACTTGATCGATGATTTAACTACGAGGCTAGCCTTACATCACACACCAATATCGTGGCTGATATCACACACCACTAAAATAAACCCTAATCTTAACTGGTAGTGCCTAGCCAGTAGTCGTGCCAAATTCAATGGTTACTGCGAGCTAAACTTCACATCCCAATTCAATATCGTGTCTGATATCTTCACACACCAGTAAAGTAAACGCTAGCCCTAATCTTAACTGGTATGACCTAGCCATCAGTCGTGCTAGATTCAAGTTTAGAATAACAGCCCGTCTAAATACGAGACACTGATATCAAGGGTTTCGCGTCTAAAGAAAACCATATGGAATTTGGACTTTGGCCAAAGCAATTCATTCTGGGATTCCGGATCGACTGGAACAGTTATCCCAATGGATATCTGCTCGCGGGCTGGAGCATCGTTCATCTTGTGGACAAGTTGGAACCAACGATGAAAAGGAGAAGGGGGAAAATGAAGAAAAAACGAAAAGTGTAATTGGAAGTAGTCGGCGGTTACTACTAGGTTGGGATAAAATACTGCATTAGCCTATGTGAAAGTTAATAGACGTTTACGTCAGCGTGGCTTGTATCACAAATTGTGTTGCCATAGAAACCCTTACAGGTCGTAGCCATACAAGCAACATAGATAACCAAATAAAATATTACAAGAAATAGCCAGAGTTAAGTCCTTACAGGACACGGACACTGATTTGACCTACAGGACAAGGCCACTGAATAATGTCCTTACAGGACATGGCCACTGAATGGACCTACAAGACATGGCCACTGAATTGACCTACAGGACATGGCCACTGAATAATGTCCTTACAGGACATGGCCACTGAATTGACCTACAGGACATGGCCACTGAATTGACCTACAGGACATGGCCACTGAATTGACCTACAGGACATGGCCACTGAATTGACCTACAGGACACGGCCACCGAATTGACCTACAGGATATGGCCACTGAATGTCCTTACAGGATATGGCCACTGAATAATGCCCTTACAGGACATGGCCACGATGTGTTTAAGATACCAAAGAGAAATGTTTCTCCCTTGTCCCGTCAATGTGACTTAGCCAATTTAAATTTTAAATGTCTTGTATGCTAATGTAAACCACACAACCGGCTCCCCCACCCCCAACCCAGATATTTGATCAGGAAACAGATTATTTATTTTTTTTAAAAACCGGAGCAACGTGTTACCTGCTTCTTTAAATGACCCAGTACCTAAAACGGATTACGTTAGAAAAATAAAGTTCGCATATAGATTGGCGTTTAAAAAAAACAACAAAGACTGAACCGGAAATCTATTCCGGCACAGCCGACTATTCGCGTGTTTAAGATAAATTATGCATGTCAAATGACACGGTCGAACATAATTAACTATTTATAAAATAATGGGTGAATTCTACACAGACTTTATGTGTGTATTAGAGGGAGGGAGGGAGGGAGAGAGAGAGAGAAAAACATGTACTAATTTATTAGTGCCTATTATAGTGTTGTAAGATTGATTGATTAGTCGTTATTCGAAAATGCTTTTTTTCGTACGGTGTTTTACTCAAATGTTTTCGCCCTCATCAGTTCTTTCCCTTGTTCAGTTGCCATACGAACAGAAAGCTACCTAAAAAAATCATCGGCGTTCCATCCTATAACTGTCCTCAAATGGATTGGCCCGCATCTGGCCTTTGTTACGATGTTCAATACAGGCTCTGGGTCCCCGATGAGGGGTTGTGGACTCGTGGGATTACTGGCTAGGTGAGGGGAGGGGGGGGGGGCTTGGGAATGCGAAGGTGAGATAAGCAGACATCTGGCCTGAAACCCGGGACAGCGGTCAAAGCAGGTAACGCTGGCGACTGGTGGGGTCGTGCTACCTTGGTAACAGACGTGGGTCACCGTGTGCCGGCGGTGGGAATGGGTTGACCCCCCTACCCCCAGTCCCCTCCTACAGGTTCTCTGGGATCTCCCGTTACCCACGGTGGAATTCAGGGAACGAGAACTGAGACATTGTCCCCGGGCTGTGGCGCTAGACGAGACTACCTTTCAGCAATCAATAGGCCAAATACTAATGAGGGGAGCAGGGGGACAGGTGGCGATACAATAAAAATATACAAGCTAATTAGCACTGGTAACTATAGAATATAAAAAAATCTAAAAATAATTATTCGAAAACAACGAGTTATTTTAAAAATATGTTTCTTTAAAAAAAATCAGTGTGCGAATTCAGGTTTGATTTTGAACTATATGAGCGCTTATGAAGTTCTACCATCTTTAGTTCAGTGTTCTGTGGTGATCGTTAAGATAACGTACGACCAAAATGATCGGAACGACTATTTTATAACGCGGCCATAGGGTGTGGCTTGTAATTTAACAACTGACAATGTTTCTGTGGTTTTAAGGTGGGGCTTACTTTAATGTGTGGCTGGTAATTCACCCACTGACAATTATTAACGAAGCTACAAGGTGTGGCTTGCAATATTTAAAAGTGGATATACTGTGTGGCTATTAACAGAAAGGTTGACAGTATCAAGTTTTTTAAATGAAAGAAATGTTTTAAAAACAATATGATCCGCTAAATCAGCCGAACCTAAAGTATTTGCCATGCGAAGACAGGAGTTAGGAAAGTTGTATACAGCTAGGGCTACGCAGTGTAGTTCGTGTCACCATTTGACAGCAGCACCTTACACTCCCCACCGCTGATAAAATAGTTCAACCCTAACTCAACACAATCCTCAACTTGATTTGTTTTAAACAACAGCCCTCTCCACTAATAAAGTGAATTGTTGAATAGGTCTGGAGGGGGGGGGGGGTGTATGAAGGAAGTTGAGTGGGCCAATCCAATTATTAAACATTTTCCCTCAACTATGAATCGACGACCCGCACGGCTAATTGGTGAAATAACTTACAGGATAAAGCTGCGTGCATGTACAACACGGTGTGGTTAGGTGCAGAGTACGACAATAAACCAAACACCACAGATGCTCCGTGCTGTCCTATACACGGCTGTCACGTGTCTAAGTATTGTACGAAGTGTAGGGGTAGTTTAGTCAAGATCAGAACCCTAGATACGTCAGACAACAACCACAGTCGCATTCCTCCACCGTGTTCTCAGTTTTTAGAATGTTTAAACAGTGCGTAGTGGCGGTCTACTTTTTCAAATCAAAAATCAAATGAAAACTACTGGCTGAGAACACGGGGTTGACAAAGTTCAAAGTCATTGAAAGGAAGGATGACCGTGGACACCGGGTCTCTTTTAAACGCACACCGGTCAATTTAATCAAGTGGAGGAGCTTCTAGCCCAGACTGTCACGCCGGGAAGTTGAAAAGGCTTGGAATTCTAAGCATGAAATCATTTCTTGAGGGAGGGGTGGGGGGGGGGGGCGGACAATTTTGGTTATTGATGTGAGGGAGACACTGGTGACCGATAACGTGGGATGGTCTGACACACAGGGGTTGTCAGGTGAAACGGGTCTTAAATTAACAACAGGATCTAAAAATGTGACTAATTAAGTCAGGCAGAGTGTGTACCACCTGCACATCTGCACGCAGTTTCAACCAAATAGGAAGTCAACTAACCCCCAGGGTTACCTCTAAGATGCGCGGTTGCGCGGCCGCGCAGTAGTTTTGAACCTGCCGCGCAGTCAACTTTGTAAAACATATATCTTTGTATAAGATTTTAGTACACCACGCACAGAAGCTTTTGCCCCTTAGATGGAATGTTAACCCCTCCCTCCCAATCCAACCAACAAAAAGATCGATCTATCTATCAACGAACCAACCAACCCACC